CATCTGCTACCTGGTCCTCTACAAATATTCTTCATTCACCTTAAAGGGATAGTCCACCCAAAAATGAAAATTCATTCATTATGTTCTCACCACTGTCCAGATGGATGGGTGGGGGAAGTGTTTGAGTCCACAAAACACTCTTGGATTTTCAGGAGTAAACAGATATGCAGCCAAATCAAATACAATTTAAGTAAATGGTGACAGATTCTTCAAACGTAAAGAAATAACAGAAAATGCCTCTGTGTCCGAAGCCCTGGCAGTTCCAGAGCAGAATAACAGAGGTCAATAAGACTAAAAACACGGTGTGAATGACCTAACAGTTGGCAAGATTTAGTTACTGATGGGGGAAGATCAAAGCTATTACTATGATCTGATGACATCCTCCAATTCCTTTGATTTGCCTCCATCAAAAACAACTCAAGTCAAGCCTTTTTTTGAAATGCACATTCAGCCTGGAGGTACCGGTCGAGTAACAATGGAGGAAATTAAATCATACCTGAGAGAAGGAGTACAGCAAGTGAGAGATGACAAGATGGCAAGAAACAGAGGAGGAAAGCAGAACAAGACACAGGGAAAAGTAAATGTTGACTTCAAGAAACTAGTCACTTTCATAGCAGGGGTGGTAAATGCTCAGTAGATTAAATCTAAAACTGAGAGAATTCAAATAGTCGTAAAGGTGGATGCCCATCATCTTGTTATCAGCAGAATGACATGGGAGGAAGTGAGGAATGATCTCAGTTCCCAAGCAAGTCAGGGGCTAGCATTGGTTGAATAGTATGAATACCTATTATCCTACTAAAATGGAATGCTAGGAGTTTGTTGACCACTGGATTAGAATTCAAAAAGTATATAGAATATTTAAGCATTAAACCAGACGTTATTGGTGTACAGGAATAACACATTACACAGAAACATGCAACATAAAATGGGATGTTCAGTATAGGGCCTCATAATTAGTTATATATATATATATATATATATATATATATATATAATACAATCATCCGATCACTATTATCACTGTTTACTTCAAGTTTGTGTCCTTCATGCTTAAGCATTGTTCCTCTCCTCAGAATCCCCTTTCTACCCACATTACTAGCAAATGTACTTTCTCAAATGTCCTGACCAATAGGTCGGCTTTCTCCCTATTATTTACAACTTCTTGATCTCCTTCCATCAAAACACAACTCCCAGCAATATGTCCTCCACCACAACTGCCACACTTGGGCACCCTTACCTTTCCTTACAATCAAAAATCTCATGTTTACCCCCACATATACCACATCTTCTAATCCCTCGACATGTAGATGCAACATGGCCGTACCTCTGGCATTTAAACCACTGCAGGGATGGCTTCCTATGTGGATGAACTTTAAAGGACAAACATCCCAGAAACACTCGTTGAGAGATTTTTGTGTGTCTTGTGATGTCACAGCAACCTTGAATTTGCCCACCAAATTAACATCAGATCCTCTGAAGTTAACATCCCCGCATTCATTTGCTCTTGGCTTCAGCTTTAGTATACATACATTTTCAGCTTCATTCAGCAAAGCATTTCAGCCTCTCAGTATTCACAATACATTATCAGCAATACATTTTAGTCCAGAAAATTTGGGGCTGTAGTTTCCCTCTTGTACGTCAGTCTTCCTCCATGCAAACTAACTCTCTTCTAGCTATGTGTTAATAAGCATTGTGGATGTAGGTAGATTTAGTGTCTGCCGTTCTGTTGTTGCTGTTTTTCTTTACTGTGCTTGTGCTTCACCAGGAACGTCTAGACAGAGGGGACAATCTGGGGGGGACACGAAAATGCAACTTGAAGAAGAAAAAGAGACAGAGGCCGAAAACAAAGGTAAATATTCTTGTGTCCCTCAAACTACTGGCTGTCAGCATTTAGATGACTCTTTCAGACATTACTTGGAGGAAAGACTGAGACCTGCCAGGGTAATTCCAATTAAATTTTTTCCACACTACCCAGCTTTTGTTTTTGAATAAGAACTTGAAAGATATCACTTACAAAACCAAATTGTTTGATAAAAACATGCCAATCCTTGATTAAAGTGTTGATTGATAATGAATGGCCTCTTGTATTCCAGTCTAAAGTTCAGAGACTTCAGCGTGAGGAGGCCTCTCCAGAGGAAGATTTATTCCCCATTAAAAATTCCTCCCAAGACTTCCTGGAAGTGAGGAAAGCAGAGTATGTCGGGTATCAAAAACGTATCCAGAGAGAAAGGGATCTTCTCTTTTCACAAAATTCTCGACCAGGTACTCAAATGCACTGAACCACCTGCTAAACACCCACATCTCTTTAAAACTGATGATCAGTTTTAATATTCTGTTCAGGATAATAACTATAATATAATGTTTTATTTATCATTGTCACAGTGCCAGCCTTCAACAGGAGGCCCCGTTATCTCGCGGATGAGGGTCTGTATGTGGGAAAAAGGCCCTCTATGTCCCAGAATAATGAGAACATTCTGGAGAGCCGCATTTTAAAAATGGAAGAGGTAATCTCAACCAACATATTAGCTCAACTATGTCACTGGCTCTGAACCATCCAGGAATTCTCTAACATGCATTTTAATTCTTGTTATTTTTTAAGGGAAAGAAGTGGATCGGAGATGATGGCAGGATCATGGCTCTGCCGGACCCCATTAAGGAATCATCCACAAGACCCCCTCTCTTCCACATGGAGGAGGACCTGGACCCTGCTCTGCAAACTGTTTACAGGAAGGTCAGTCACAGCACCACTTTGATCACCACATTTGCCAAATCCAAAGCAAAGTGCATTTCTATTGTTCTTTATGTCATCTATTACAATAAAACAAGAGTGTTGATTATAAATCTGCTGATTATTTGTTTGATCAATTAAATACCATAAAATGCTTAAAAATGTAAATTACAGTTTCCTAAAGCCTCAGGAGATACCCTCAAATTGGTTGTGTTGTTTGATGATGAATGATGTTTTTCATTCCTCCAGGCAACAAAGTCCAAATATGAAAACACTGACAGTACATTGGATCCTGAGGGAGACTACAAACTTGATGTTGATGTTTCTGGGCTGATCTTCTCCCATCACCCACTCTTCAGTCGCGAACATGTCCTGGGAGCCCGTCTAGCTCAGCTGTATGATCAGTACCTCACCAGGCAGCACAATAACCTGACAGGACACTTGACTGACAAGGTAAACTCCACAAGCTGCCTGTAAATAGCATAGTAACATCACAATTATTATAAAATGTCTTTACATTCTTTAGTATATAACTTAAATATATAAATGTGTGTGTGTGTTTTGTGTTTTCTGTCTGCTGCAGTTGAATGGGTTGAGGAGTGCCCTGCGAAATATCCTTGAGATCCATGATGGCCAGAGCCTCACTCAGGCCATGCAGCAGAGGATATCTGATTACAGTCTGGAGGTTCGGTGAGTTTCCCAGATCTTGTCTCTCCCATCCACGTCCTGTCCAGCCTTGCAACATGTACCTCTACACTGCTTTAATCACTATGACTATCAATATTCCTGCTGCATGTTTGTCCCTCTTAATACCGTAGAAATACTCGGCAGCTGCGAGACAGCGAGCAGGAGAAAGACCGGACTCTGCTGAAGAKCGTAATTAAGGTGTGGAAGAAGATTAAGGCCCTGAGAGAGTTCCAGAAGTTCATCAACACACCCTACAAGCTCTTCCTCAGAAAGTAATGCTCTCTCATTTTTACTATAATACATATAATGTATATTTTATCTTGTTAACCACAGATTKTTTTAATCCTGTGACRAATGTGCTGTGTTTTCCACATCTGCTCCAGAGAGAATGTAGACCAGGCGTCAGATGAGCAGGTGTATGAGGATGAAATCCTGGCAGAAGTTGTGGAATTGGAGGCTGAGAATGAGGAGGACTACCAACGAAAGCTGGCCGAGTACAGGAAACAGCTGGCAGAGTGGAAGCTCTCAAGAAGAAAACAGGTGCCTAACTACTCAATATTTATTTGCTTGGATTAGTTAGTGATATCTGAACATATTGTACGCTACTGTACAAATAAACTATGGTTATTAATATCTTAAGCTTATAGAAACAAAATCTGATTTGACCTTGTTGACTGTGTAAATATGGAGATTTATTAATTCCAACACTTATATCTCATTGTTTGCAGAAAGCCAAAAAGAAAAAGAGAAAAAAGAAGAAGAAAGGCCAGTTACAGGATGAATCCAAAGGGCCTGAGGGAGAAGAGTGTCCAAAGCCAGAGCCTCCGGAGAAGCCAGACTTTGACTCAATAGAGCAGCAAGTCAGAGAGAAGGCTTCCAGGATACGCAGGAAACCAGGAGAGTCCATCCTGATTCCTGAGCTGCATGCATCTGGAAACATCACAGCCAATGACCTCTGCCCCAGGTAAGAGCACAATCATGCAGAAAGTCGGGGTTTCTTACAAAAGATGTTAACTTTTAACTAAATAGTCTGTGTGTCGTTCATTCTTTTCATATTCAATTTATGAACACTTAAAAAAAATAAATAATTTGCACTTCTCGATTTTATGCTCTAGTGAAAAATAGGATGTAAAATCTGCCGTGGTTTGAATTTGATCTTTAATAAGATATTTGTGTGACCAGGATGTGCAATTGAAAATAGTGAAATTATCTATGTATGTTTTTGTTTTTTCTTTGTTGTAGGGCGGAGGTAGCTCGCAGACGGGATGTTAAGAGGCGCAATTTTTTCATCAAGATCCTGTACAATGGCAAAGAAGTGTCCCGAACTGAAAGCAGCTCCCTGAACACTGATTTCAGAGTGCACTTTGGTCAGATTTTCAATCTCAAGATAGTTAACCCTCATCAAAGCATCACATTGCAGGTCTTTGAAAAGATTGGATTATTCAGTTCCCGCCTAGCTCAAGTGTTCATCCCTGTGCCAGAACCCTCTGTCTTAACGGGCAGCGTCCCTCTTGATGAATTTGAGTTCAGCAGCAACCAGAGAGTGATGTTTGACCATGAAGGAGTTGGAAGTGGTAAAATTCTTCACTTGACACCAGTTCAGATAATGTATAGTCCCACCCCCAAAATGCCTTTTATTTCAGTAACACATTACTTATTGTCGGTCTGTCTGTCTTGTCAGATGTCCCCCTCTCCTTCGAGCCTGATGGCAGTAACAAACAGACCCTGCTGACCTCTGGTAAACTGTCCTGCTGTGTTTCCTGGGGTGTTGGGGATGATGATGTACCACTTGCCCCTCCTGTGTCTCAACATCCTGGTGGCATACACAGGTAATATCACTTCAAGAACACTGTTGTGGTCTTGCATGTTTTAATCTTTCCTACTCTCCAGCCAGACAGTGGTTTCAGTTTATGTCAGCATGATGTAAACATGGCGACTTGAAACTTTATTTTTATGTCAAGTTTATGCTGCAAGTTTCTGACAAGCTTCTGTGTTGAACCCTTTAATTGATGCCATTCCACAGACTTTCCCATGTGTACTTACTGTTTGTATTTTAAGCTATATTTTTGACAACAAAAGCTCATAAATGATTCTCAAAGCTCACTCATCATGCAATTAAGTGACTCATAATATGCAGAGGGAAATAGTCCATAGTTCTGTATGTGTTAGCAGTCTGTAGTTTATGGTCTAAAACAGCAAAAAAAAAAATACCCCATGCACATGATAGCTTTAAGTAGTTTTTTCACTTTCTTTGTCTCTGTTTTAGTGGCCTGCACCGTCTTGATGCTGTCACATCTATTTGGGGATGTGGACTTCATGACATGGAAAAAGCTTTGGAGTTGGCCAAACAGTCACGACTCGACCCCAACGACCCAAAAAATGTCTCCATCCTGCATCTCCTTAAAGTGAGTACCACAACACAAAGCTGTTCGAACATCTCAATGACCCGGCAGGATTCAGGTTTTTAATTGTTTTGTGACAAAAACATTCTTTCTTTGTATCTGTGGTTCACCAGGTGACCAGAAGTGGAGAGGTGAAAGCTCCAGAGTACTTCCGACTAGAACAGCAGCAGGAGGAGTTTAACTTTGTGACTGATGAAGAGTTGGAACGATCATGCCTGCTCAGGGTCAGGAACCAAAAAGTTGCAGTGTCTGAAAATTACAAATGTGCTCCTGGTCTGGAGAGAGAGGTCTATGATAAGATGATTCAGGTCAGCCTTCTAATTATTCACATGCTGTAAAGTATTATGGATATGGCAAAAGCAGAATATATTTGCTCAATAAGAGGCCAATTAGATTATATATATGTATCTGTTGATGTGTTAATTGGATGAGAGCATTAAGTGAAGGCTATTTTGTTATTTACCCACAGATACCTGATTGGACCAACGACAGAATAATTAAGATTCAACAGCAGTTGTGGAGGACGTTTTCTAACATTTTTCTTCAATGAAAATACAAACTTTATTAAACATTTGTACTTGAGTTAAAGTAAGTACTTGCTTTTAAATATACTGAAAGTATTAAAAGTAAAACCACTTGCAGAGAGTAGCCTTTTCCATAAGGGCCTGGTCACACACACAAATGAATCATTGATGAAGCTTCGCCTCCCGTTCACTTTCAATCTGTACGAGTGAGGAGGTGAATAAAACACTCGCCTCCTTTGGCAAAGGGTGGTGAGACGGCTGCTGTCAGAGAAGAACAGTTGTTCTCCTCCAGCTGCAGCACCTGGTGGGAGCCACCTTGGTGATAACACAACTTTGCCCTGATTGGCTAGAGCTTTACTGACATTACATTTTTATTCTAAGAAAATCCACTATCCATTATCTGCTGTTTATTTCTCTCCAAAGAGGATGAGATGGAGCCTTTTTGAGCTCCTTCTGATAGATACCTACGTATTTATACAGTGTCATTGCATTTTTCATGATATTTAAATAGTCTCATGAAACCTGGAGCAAATCAAACACTAAATAAAGACACAAATCGAATATCAAATAATACTAGTGATGTTTTCACTAGGGTGCAATGATCTAAATTATACAAATTATTTCCTTTACCCTAGAATGGGCCCTTTATATTTAAATACTTTATATTGACATGGGGAGTGGGTCCTCTCTAAGGAGGCAGCCATGTTTTTTTACAGTAGCTTAGACTGGACAAACTAAACACTGTGAAGGAAATTTGACCTGGCAAGGCTTCTGAAATGAAGAGAACTGAGAATAATAGTCTTTTCTGTGCACGTTTATTCTTTGGCAAAGAAGGTCGGACAGATCTTACAGCATGCGGACATGTGAAGATGTGAAAGACGAGGGAACATTCACAGGTGTGCTCTTTTATGTAGATTTAGTAAGCTGAGCGTGAGAAGATCTTTAAATGCAGTCTATGAGGAGAAGAGGTGAAGTGTGAAGTCTCAGGAAATAACAAAACAGGTCAAGGTCTTTGTGGAGATGAGCACAGTGAGCTTCAGATTTGTGGCTCTGACGTCAAGGATCTTTCGGAGACTGAAACCTATTAAATCTGTTGTGAGGCAAGTCGTTAAAGGTCATCTTGGCATTTATACAAGCAAAACTAATATAATAGTATACTGATAATTTTCCATTAAAACACCTTTTGAGATTCCCTGACAACTGAAGGTTTCCACAGGTTCGCTTTCATTTTGGAAGGGGAGGTGATTCAGCTGTAACATGAAACATTTTACATTAATTAATACTATATAAAGCTCAGAATCCACCTTCCCAGGAAGATGGCTTTTGAATAAGCTTACATGTAAATTCAATTTACCCAAATTCCCAAGTAGAGATATCACATTAGCAGGGGGCTTGACCAAATGTATCATAGGCAGATTGGAGCACATTGCTTTGTAAATTAGCCTGTCTAGGACTTCTTAAGTTGTATTCACCTTTTGTTGTGTCACAGACATTTTGATTAGCCCGGCCCAAAACCTATTGTTTTTAGACTTGCCTTCATGTCATTTTCTAAAACCTCAAAGGTTGTTTGTAGAATTCAGTGACATCTAGTGGTGAAGTTGCATGTTGCAGCTGAATACCCCCCTCCCAAAAAAACAAACAAAAAGAAAACATGAAAGAGAAGCTGTGGTACAGTCAGTTGTTAAAACTCAAAAGATGTTTAGTTTGTCTAGTCTGGGCTACTGTAAAAACCATGGTGGAACTCCCTACAGAGGACCTGCTCCCCATGTCAATATAAAGTATTTAAATACAAGGGGCCCATTCTAGGGTAAAGGAAGCAATTCTTAAAATTTAGATGATCACACATTAGTGAAAACATCACTGTGATTATTTTATATTCAATTTCTGCCAATAGATCCATTTTACCTAAATGTTAAACACTGACCCTTTGACTCTGAATGTTGACCATCAGACAGAACTGTGCTGCCTTGTATTGTCTGAATCCACTGCATGGTGAATACAACTCATCGAACGCAGCCAGAGTATGAAAACTGACTATATTGTACTAATACATCATATGTGTGCCATTGGTACAAGATAATCAGCGTTTGTTAGTGTTTGCTTAATCTGTGAAGATAATGTTCTGCCTTCTCTGTGTAGACCAACATGACAACTTTGAACTGTGGGAGACGGAAGCATGAATCCAAATCATTTTGTGAGAAAAAAAAACTTAAATACAGAAAACACTAACTACTTGGTGTTTGTTTCTATACTTTTTACTTTTCAAAACCAAAAAAACAAAACAGGATGTACATTTGCAGATGCCTAAAATCCTGTATCATAATTTTCCTTTTCCAAAGGACTGTTTCCATTTAATATAGATGGAAATGGGGGAAAACAGGAGCAAAATTACAGTTTCGAATTCCAAAACATTTTGTGACACAAAATACAGCAAATGCTTTTCCCAGGATAAAGTGCAATAAAAAGGAGATGTTGACATTTGAGGAGAGCATAGCTAGGCAGGATCACTCTCCAGAGCGACAGCAGGCTCTGAAGCCACACTGTAGGTTCTGGCAGCCGCTGGCGGTGTCTGCATGTGGACCTAAAGAGAAACACCACACAGTAATTATCTTACTCGACTGCATGTCCATACACAAGTGAAAAAACATACAAGCACCCTCGCATCCACAATATTCTAATATTCTTAAATTATCAAATAAATGAAGTACACATATGGTACACACCGCTGAAGGCATCATACTGGCTACTGTAATGCCTACTTACCTTCCACCTCAGCAGCAATGGTTACTTACACTAGGGCAAATACTATGCAAGTGGGGTTAGTAATGTTTGTTACAGTTGCCACAGTGCAATACCTCACAAATAATTTCTATTCACTATGACAACTTTATATACAGTTACTCATGAACACAATACTCTACTAGATTGTGAGCATGTATGATTTTGTGTATCAGAGGAAAGAAACCCTGACAGCTTGACCCGTGTTACCGTTAATATTGTCGCAGTAATAGAAGTGTTCATCATTGAGGGAAGGACAGGCTGACACCAGCTCCTGCAGCCCCACCTCAGTGATGAAGAGGCAGCCGGACAAGTTGAGATGCTCCAGAACAGGAAGCCCTCCACGCTGAGACAGAGCCCTGGAACACACACAGTGCAATGCAACCTCATTACAGGTATAGTGCCATGCATACAAACTGATAATCATTTCTCAAGTGCGAAGCCTTCCTCTCCCTAACAACCTGAGCTAAGGTGACAACTAATGGAGATGTAACTTGATCGAATGCATCTGAATTGCTTGCTAATATGCTTCAACGTAAATAATATTTTACAGCACAAACAGAAGTGCATTTATGTTTACATTTTAAATAAGAAATTCTTTAAATCTATATATTTGGTTGCATTTGTGTTTTCTTTAAATCTGTGGTTATTTTTAATAAAGTTCATAAAGCCTCAAATCCAAATCATTGTCATATGGGTGTGATAAAAACATCTTGAGAATGATCAGCCAAAAATTGGTATCAGAAATGTTTCACTCCTTTATATTGGTATTGGCATCAAGCCCCAAAAATCTGTCTGGCTCTAATTTGTGATTATGAAAAACAGTCATGCTGCACCTCACACACATTGTGTATGTGTGAAGGATGGCATAGAGAAAGTTTACCCAGCTGAGTGACGATGTGTCAATTCACAAATGACAACACTCACACAAGTTATTGCACCATGTTCTGTTTTCAGTTGGCCCTGAATTTCTACACATGAATCCTGAAGATACTAACCTCCAATTTGGAAATATCATGCAATTTTTTAGTATAAAGGAAGTGAGGTTTTTTTTTGGTAAGTTTGCAAAACAGTAATACATGATCTTTACCTCAAACCCAAATCAGTGACTTGGTAACATCCAGAGAGACTGAGGAATCTCAGTGAGCGTTTTGTCTCTGACTGGTCAGTCCTGTTTTCGGGCTCCAGACACTGCAGGCCCTCAAATGAGGAGCACTTAGTCCGAAATTCTGCAGTGATGTTTCTGGTGGTCCCTGACTCGCACTTGGGCCCAATAAAGGTTCTGAGGGCCATGTCATTAGTGCAGCAGGTGGAGTGACCACAGAACATTTCCCGTGACATGGAATATTGCTGATGTAAATAGGAGGCATTTGTCCTTTGCCCGCGCCCCCTGCCCTTCTTGCAGGAGCACGAGGTTCCCAAAAGCTGCGTCTCAACGAAGCTTCCTGCATCAGGAAGAGACATTCCACCACGACCGCTCCATTCTGCAGCGTCTTCAATATCAGCAAGGTCTGAGGAGTCCAGTACCCAAACCTGTGCGGGCCTGCGGGCAGTCCCCCAACGTCCAGTCCCCTGCTTGAAAAGGATGGCCTGTCGCTTCCGTCCCACTGGATGAAGGTTTCTCTCATCCATGAGTGTGATGGGTACTGTGGAGCTTTTAAGGAGCTTGGCTCGTCGGTCTACACGCTTGTCAAAGCAGGTTGAAGACGTGAGGTCGCCAAGCCCAAAAGACAATTTCTTCAGGGTGTGATCTGTGATCTTCTCACATCCCGACAAATCCAGGTGCTCCAGAGAGAGACAAGCTCCAACAGATGACCAGCTGTAAGGAGGATTGAAGGAGCACGTGGTGAGTACTAAGTTTCCTGTACATCAAAAACCTGAACAGGGTTGGCCCTAAGCAAATTTAGAGCTTCATCAATTGTGGATCTAGTGTATAAACTTTGTTAATGATACCATAGCATAATCAGAAATCACTTTTTGTTAACATTTACCTGTCAAATGCGAAATCTGTAACATCAGTCTGAGTCAGATCCAGATGAGTAATATTGGGGCAAAGACTGAGGATTTGACGCACCTGGAAAAGGACATTAATTTAGTCAACATTCATTTTTATATGATAGAAATTCATGTTTTCATAATCATGTACTGGACGATTAGAGTGAAAAGAAACATCCTTTTGTACTTCATACCATTTTACTCGAGACTGTAGAACTGTATGCCAGAACAATAGACTTGACAGATGGGCCCACAGCTGGCAGTAGATTCTGGATAATCCCATTCAGAAGCTTCTTCTCCCGCCGAGCAGTGCTAATTGCCAGAGAGCCTACTGTGTGGTCCGACACATCTGACAAGACATAAACAATAACTTGACAATTTCCAATTGTAATGGTTGCCTTTGTATAATAGACAACAGTCTGTTCACTATTTTAATGTCAGAGTGGAACCTGAAGTCTAAAGGCAGCACCCTTCTCACTTTAGTGCAAACTCATAAAAGGTGGATAAGGTAACTAGAGTTACCACAAAAGCATGTGAACTGGGGTTGCACGATATTAAGAAAATAAGCGACATGTGATAACAATGCTGAATATCGTGATGACGATATGACTTGCGATAAATAAACACTAACAGGCCCTGGCTACGGACACAGGGACCACAAACAGCTACACAGCCCGGGTGAGAAGGCGCCTAGCCCGGCCGCAGCACCAGATCCGGGGCAGGCATTAGGGAGCCATGCACAGCTCTACTAATAATACATTAATACTCCTTATTTTGTTGTTTTAGTCACTAACAGAGGTACAAAGACAAAATCTCACCAGACTCATCAACATCAGCATCCTCATCCCATTCCTGATAAGCCCGACCCTCATTCTTCCGGCTCTTCACCCACACGTCATTGGGCTCCTGGTCCAGATCCCCTGGTGGACCATTATAATAATCACCTACATTTCACACACAATAAAATGTATTAGCAGTGTACTACCACCACAACATATTCAACTGAATACAATTAAGTCTTTGCAAGTATGACACATAGCAATTACCAAACAAGTGTGATTGTACATTGCAGGAAATCTAACTGGATGAACAAGATTTTGGCTCCTAAAGTAATCGCCAGCTTTCAGTAGTTTACCTCTGGCCCAGTGCACAGGGTAGAGGTGCCTCCACAGAGAGCCGGTCTTAGCGAGCTCTGACCAGGAGCTGCTCACTTGACTACAGCGACACAGATCTTGAGGACCCAAATAATGGAACAGCCTCAGCATAATTTCTGTAGGGAGCTGGGAGATGTGGGTTGATGAATCCTTTTTCTTTTCCAGCTCTGAGAAAGAGGACAAAAGAGCTTACCTAGTTACTCAAATACCAAAAGTATGACATGTATCTTTTTCAAATGTCTTCCAACTTTCCAGGTCAGTTGATCTTTTCATGAAGGTCCTGACTTAAGAAGTCTAACAGTGTCCTACTTATGCAGTTTTTCAAGGTTGACATTTTACAGTAGGAAAAACACAGGTGTAAATGATGAAAGTTCCCTTCCTCAGTTTCAGGCTCTTAGTATTGTGCATTAGGGTTGGGTACCGAAATCATCCTACATTGCCAGTACCTATCAGACCGAATCCCAAGGCAGATTTTGGTGCCTGAGCTATGTATTGAAATAGTTATCCTGATTACAGGCAATATAAAAACCCCAGCGGGTGCCTGGTTAAAATTATACTTAACTCTCATGGCAGCACACTCTCTATATGGCTTATGCAAGGAGCGTTTGCCTACAGTTAGCTAGAAGCTACTTCAACCTTGAGTCGACACAACAACAAAACACATAATATAGTCTGAGGCTGTTTTTCATTTGAAAGAATTCCGTCACCAGGACATGCAGCAAATGTCAGAGCAATGGCCTAGAGCAGGGAGCTCTAAAACTAAAAGATCTAAAAACTGATCTTTAGATTTTACAAGCTGTATTCAGCTCTGTTGGTATTTTGACTTGATCAAGTATTGTTTAAGTATCAAAACAGTTTTTTGATATGACAGTATAATTTGCATAACTTTTGTATGTACCAAAATTGAAAGAATATGAGACTTTCATGGCATTTTGTACCCAGACAGAGTGGGAGAATGTGTCGTTCCTTTACAGCAACAGTAATGAACATTGGTGATACTGACAATTGGAGACAGAACCTGAAATCAGGTTTGAGACACATTAGCACACATAAGCAATTCCTCATGATCCTAATGACTACCAAAAAACAGTAATAACAATTTCAACATGAATATACCCACTAACCGTAATCCGTCTTCTCATGATCCGCATATTTAAAGGCCTTATGCAGCTCCTCTGCCTGGCTCCACAAAGTGAAGCCCTTCAGTACCTCAGCGGCACAGTCCCATGGATGTTGGCTGCAGTGTTGTGCTATCACCTGCTTCTTGATGTCTTTGAGCTCCTCATAGGTGAAGTATTCCATAAGCATAGGCTGAAACACCTGCAAACAATCTCTTCAGTTTACAAGTGGCTTCAAACAGTGCAAATTACTGAGCTATGAACAAACACATTTCAAATTAGTTTCCATACATTTTTCTGTTCTTTCCTTTGTTGTTTATGACCACAGTTTAGTCTTATCCACCCTTTTGGAAATCAACCAATCAAAAAGGTTTTATTAAAAACAGAGATATGCAACCAACATGTACCTCTTCTTCTTCCTTCATGTGGGGCAGAAAGTCCTGTGTGAAAGCTTCTAGTCTCTCCTTCAGCTGCTGGACATAGTTAAGCTGCTCATATTCACTCTAAAACACAGAGCAAACATTAATACAAGGAAATCAGTGAAGAGCATACAAGTTCAGATTTCTTTACAGCCACATCCACAATATTTACAAATTCAGTCTTTACAATCGCGTCTTCAAGCAGAACAATGTCGCTTTCTTTTTTCCAAACTGACTAGGGCAGATCGGATGTTAAGATTTACACAATTGCATCACCCTGGATTGCCCATGCTTTTGGTTTGCTTGTTGCTTGAGAGAGAACAATAGGTCTTGCAGTCTTTTAAGCAGATCACAAAAACAACCATCCCTCCATTAAACAATTCAGACTACTTCTTTCTTCATTTTCCCATATTCTTAATAAGTGAAATATTTCTCGTAACCCCATAGATTCTTCACAAAAACCTGGTTGGATGCTACTATTTGTCAAAAAGTTTTGAAATAAATTCCCTTTAAAAGAGATACACTACAATTACCCTCTATTACAATTAGCATGTACACATGAAAAATAACTGTTTTGATGTCGCTGGTACTACAACCGTTGTCTGGCTAACATGGTTGTTATTCTAATGACAGTGTCTTACCCCACCATTGAGCAACAAGTATCAGCTGAGTTCTGCAAAACTCACATATGACCCTCTTAAGTAAAGCCTAGTATTTTTCGGCTGAGCCACGTCAAAAGCAAATCTATCGGAATATTGATCCATATTTACCTTAACACTGTGCAGTCCCTTTTCAAAGAGGGTCAACATCTCTGAGAGTTTGTTGTCAGCGTGCACATTGTACACAGTGCAGCAGCGTTGTTGCAACAGGCTGATAATGTACTCATTCTCAATTTGTTCATGCATCTTGAACTCCTTGAAGGTGGCGCAGAGTGACTGGAGAAATGAGCGGAAATCATTGTTGTTGGAGAAGTTGGTCTTTGACAGCTGGGAATAAAAACAAAGAAAAACTGTCAGATTCGTGTGACAAATAAAAGCAGTGGCACTTCCGCTGGTGGCATTACATCATGACAAATTGTAGGCCCTGTGTAAACCCTAACAACAACTGCTGCAATTAGCATCTTTACGGCAGAGAATGTAAACTGGCGTTACAGCAGTGGGCTCCAGATTACGTTCGAACACAAGCAGTGCATTAGCCGCTTTGGCTAAAGGGACTTTTTTTACCCAAATAAAAGACTAACCAGTAGAATTTGAAATGTCAGCTTGGAGATGCTTAATGTTCTAGCTGTAACAATTCGTGGGAACCTTGGAAACTACTTAGTGAAACTTGAATCTCGTTGCATAACAGGCAAGTTAGTCAAGCTGGCTAAAGCTGTTAGCATGCCATAGCTGGGTAGACAGGGGGTGGGTTATTCGGAGTTTGATGAGGGTAATCCAGAACAGGCCCCACGGTGCTGGGTGAGGGAAGGTCTCTGTGTAACGCTGACTTCACGTTCACGAGTCTGACCACGGGGATACCGAACGGTTCCAGGGTAGCCAAGCTAGCTCGCTAGCGTGCTAGGTGGCGTTCACTCGTCCGTGGGCCACACACGTCATATATCCCACTGTAGAACTGTAAGTTGACCACGGACGGTCGCTTGTACTCACCTTTTCGCAGTATAAGCCCACCAGCTGCTTCATTCGCCAGTGTGGGCCAGTGAAAACATCCACCTCGTCCGGGAAGGGAGCCATCTTCGCGCTGAGCCTCAGTGCGTCATCCACACAGTCCCAGACACAGTCAACAAGGAGGCGTGTGCGAGCCGCCCACGTGACCGCTGATCCGTAAACGTGGGCTCGACCAGTTATGAGCTGTTCTGCTCTGGGATCAAAATACACCTTTGGAAACTCGTTATAAAACTTTTACGTTTGAAAACACACCTACACGAGTAACATAAACCCCAGAGCAAACTCTACTAGTATAACTTAGATCAGACTGGTAGATAGTGGACAGGAGGTATTGACTGGACAGTTGTGTGAAGCTCGATGTTTTTACAGGGCCATCTGAAGAAACACTGCTCACCTGACGGGAATTGTATTATCTGCACATATTTACCTCGTTTGTCATTTGTTATTCATCCAGTAAATTCATATAATTCTCTCTTTTTTTACATTTTCTGAATGCATGTCATAGTTTTGCTCAACATCTATGGTCTTGCGTCGTTGTCCTATTAAATATTGAATAGATACAACTTCTCATTTAAAATGTTTGCTAAATGTGTGTCACTTGTTGAATCTGTTTTCTCATTTGCTTCCTTGCCTAAAACATGCGGTTAAAATAGATGCTAGTTTAGTTACTTCAATTCCAAAAGAGGTTCAACATTGAACGCGGTTTGCATCAGTTTGCCTGTTATGAGCCAGTAGTCTTACATTCATTCAAGTTAAAATAAGCTC